CATTGGTACAAACCTCTCATGGAGTGTCTGAGGGGAGTTCTTTCCCAAAAATCGAATTGATGGTTCAATCTGAAACATATTTTGGGCCAACAACGCATACGAAATGGTGTTTGTAATTTGTTTGAAATAAAGTGTGTGTGTGTAATATTCTTTAATATTATAGTACACTGTTTGTGTGTTTGAGATTATGTTTGTTTTAATTCGTTGTATGGGTGTAATGTTTTTAATTTATTATTCGTCTTTTTTAGCTTGTTTATTCTGATGAAATATTAAATCTTGTGTAATAACTAATTTCATCATGTGATAAGATCTTGTATTACTGTCGTATTGAAACACATCGTAGTATTAGTGTTTGTATATGTGCCTGGTCGACTATAAAATCATTTTTCATATATGTAAAGAGGTATTCTAAAATTTTTATGTGTATCTTGGACACTGAAAGCATCAATTTACACTATTTTCAGTGAGATGTCTGTGGTTCCTGCAATTCCACTAAAACTAAGTGTTTGATGACGTCACTAATTGCAAAATTTGCTTTATCACATAAGGTCCGTCGCGATTTGGGATGTCATAAAATATTTAGTTTTAGTAGAATTACAGAAACCACAGACGTCTAATTGAAAATTGAAAAGGTGGAATTGATGCTATCATTGTCCCCAATACACATACAAATTTAGAAAACCTCTTTACAATCCTTTTAACTCATCATCTGCTGTACATTGAATTGATTATGACTAAGTCCTATCTCACCAACAATATAGCCTATTTTTATATGAAGTATATTTATTTTTTCATTAATTGAAATGAGAAGAAGAATCTATTGTAATAATTTTCGTTTCGTTGTAACATTTTCAAAAAACAGTCGGATTTCCAACTGTTTTCACCGTCCGTCCGATAACCAACTTTAACAATGAATATCATATACATATTTCAAAATATAGCCTATAAATGGTCGCCTACTGCCACTTTTAGTTTGAAACGCGTATAAATTAAAATTCAATTTTAGTACATGTGTACTTGACCTAGACAATTATATTTTGAAGTACCTAGATTTTATTTTGGTATCATTTCCGTTTCCCAGTATATTTAAAGGGACTGATTAGCCATTTTTTTACCAATCATACTTTAGGCTCAGAAATAGGAATTTGTTAGCTAAGCTAATCAGTAATGGTGTTCTCAGCTTTCCCTCGAAATCTGAGCCTTCAAATTCATATGTGTCTAGAAGTATCCGCGTTGAAAGTTAAAAAGACCAGTCGACTTTATTGAGACACTGCCATATATAGAAATAGGAAAAGAAATTCCTCGTTTGAGATAATTTTGAACATTTTGTACATTTCTAGTAATTCTGAACACTCAAATCAATCCCCCAAAATGGCGCCTCTGCCCCTTTAAGTACATATAAGATTATGGTAAATGCAACAAGAATAAAACAGTGAACCAATTGAATGGTTTATAATAGATTACTCTATTACATGATATTAATAATATCTAATTGCGTGCAATAGTCAATTTCAACTTCATAGCGAATCCATTAGATACCGTGTATCTATCTCGTCTTCACAATCTCAAGTTATTACTCAGTACGTCTATAACTTTGACGGCAATAGCCACCATTCTTGTATCACACAGCCATATTCAGAAAGACTGTAAGCAATTTCGTTCCGCTTTTTATTAGCTTTTAATTAGATTCTAACGACAGCCCTCTTGAACGTTCGTCCAAGTGGCCTTTGGACTGAACTTGGTGACGTCTGCTTTAATCAATCAATTTTTTTCCCTCTTCGCACTGGGATTTAATGACTCGGTGTTTATCAGGTTAGGTCAAAAGGTTGATTGGACGAACGTTCAAGAGGGCTGACGTTAGACCCAAACTGGAGTGGCTTTATTAAAGATAAAAGCTAACAAAAAAAAACAGAACGAAAGTTTGGTCTAATTTCAATTATAATTAATTTGGTTGCGCGTGTAATCGTGAAGATGCCTCTTCTTGGGAAGGACTTCGGAAGTCTGAGTCTAAGCAAGTGGCTACTGGCCACCGTGGCTACTAGATGAAGATGAATAACTATCATTGATTGAAAGGTTATATAACAATTAGGTCTGTGATTTATTGCTGTAAGACACGATAGAAAAGTTTAAAGATATCATATCGCTCAATCATTTGGTATTATATTTATAATCGTATAAAATCCTATTAAACTAGTCTTACCTTAGGGTACTGAGGGTTGTCTTTATCGGGTTTCAGGTTACACTGTAAAGTTTTACTGTAAACTTTTACGGATAATAGATGGTCATTTGGACTTAAAGTATGACTGAAATTAAATTCTAACAGACTAGAAACTAGAGGATACATTGAGGGAAATTTTGTCATGACAGCGGCATTAACCTGCTCTTTTACGATTTCCAACTGTCGAGGGATCTTTAACGTGATACTACGTCTTAGAATTAACATAAAATATAAGAATCTTAAACTTGGCGAATAAAAGCCAGTAGATATACCTGATGTCATAAATAACATAACAGGATCCTTAAATAATCTGATAAATCCAAAAAACTTAGAAATTATCCATAAATATGCAATTAACTATTTAAAGACTCTTAATATCAAGATAAAGCGCTTTTCAATAATTACTTAGTTTTATGAATTTTCCAGATTTTACGGGGATTCTGTTGTAACTTTATGACACCAGGTAAGTTCACTGATGAATATAGACCGATAGTGACCTTTTCCAGAACTTATATTTTATATTCATTCTAAGACGTAGTATCACTTTAACGTGCACAGTCTGTAACACACGGGCCTCAGTTTATTGTCCCAACCGAACGACGAGACGCTTTTTCCATGTCAGCCCCTCTTACCTACGCCACTGACCGGGGGAAATCGGGTTGAAAAATTCCGAAGGTATCATCTCGACCTATGCCGGGATTGAACCCTGGACCTTCAGGTTAGCGAGCAAGCGTCTGACTCACTGATACCGAGTTGACAAACCTATTCTCAGTAGCTCAATAAGAATCAACTAGCCCCGAGACTGGGGGTACAAATAGGGGGCAGGCTGACTCAATAGGAGGACAACTGCTCAGGCTGAATTCAAATTTAGCTGCTCTGTGTTGGTGTCATATTCGCAAGCTTCTCATAGAGCTTTTTAGAGCGCATGTTCTCTCAAGAAAATTTTAGAAAAAATTCTGACACATATTTTGGAGAAAAAAGGTAGACATATAGATTTGTTGAAGATAAAGTGGGGTTACTATTGGAGGTGCCAACCTCGT